TAGCTTGCCCTGTCAGTGTTGGTGGGGGTGTGGTTTTCTCCTTGGTAGTTCCTTGATTAGGTTATTTTTTTCTGCTTGATGGTTTGTCTCGTGTTAATCCCTGCTTATCTGGGTGTAGGGTGCTGGAAAGTATGTGTTCTGGTCTTTTTGTTTCCTTCTTAGCTTTTTTATTGTCCCTTTTGAATGGTGTGTAAATGTGGTTTATCGCTATGTGTCTGTTGAAGGCTGATTTGTCTGAATGCCAAGTTTCCAGGAATCTCCTTAATTCCCTTATTAAGGTATTTGTTTGTTAATGAAAAATTCATTAGTGAACTAGTTTTTCTAGTTTAAAAAATCCCCAAGATTAAAATCATCACTGCATTGGAGTGTGGCACTGAAATGGAATTTGAAAGCAGGGATTTATAAATATGTGGAAGTTGTTTATTAATATTAAAAATAATTATGTTTTATTTGACTCAATAAACCAAGTTCTTCAGGCTGATTACAATATGAGCTGAATATTAAAACCACTAAAGCAGTAAAAACAGTAGAACACAATAATAAATACTCTAGGGAGGGAAATAAAAATATATAAAAGCTACTAGTCTAATATAATATGGGCACTTAAAATCATAGATACCTATAAAATGCTTGGGAGAAGAGAAATATTCTAGCCTGGCACTAAGGTTTGTCTTTGGATAGACAAGGTGGAGCATTCTAACATAACATCCTTCAGGATAAGAGAGGGAGAACACTTTTCTTCTCTCTCTCTCTTGCTTTCTCTCTCTCTGTATACACATCCACACTCACACCCACACCTTTCTACTTTGCAGCCTCATGGAGTCTTGCCAATGATTGCTGGTCTACCTAGTGTGATAATACTTGGGGAGCAAATATTACCCAGTAGTGATTTTTGCCATCTAACGCAGTATTGTTTAGATAGGAATGGATGCCAAAGTAAAAGCATTCACTTGAGGGCATGGCTGAAAGGAGCTGAAGTTCTCACGCATAATCCAGTGCCTGGAGTGAGATGCTGTTTTTCTTCTACTCTGAATTCTGTTTTGCTCACAGAGCTATGAAAATTAAGCTGACTCCTTAGTCACTTCCTGTTCTAGGGGTTCATTCCTATAATTAAGAATAAGGAAGTGACCATAGGTCCCATCTAGCCCAATATTGCTGGCACTGATTGTCAGCTGCTCTTTAAGGTCTTAAACTGGAGCATTTATCAATTCGCTGTGGAAAAGCCAGTACTTAAACTGGCCCTTCCATTCCACCACTGTTACTTGATGACTGCAGCATCCCTTGATGACTCTTTTGCATAAATGGATTGTCGCTGGTGCAGTGCCCCCAATAACGCTTCTATGTTGCCTCTACCACAGTGATTTTCAATTCACAGAATCATGAATTTTTTTAAAAAAATCAGGTTTGTGCACACTTGTATACGAACTGTAAATCTAAGCGGAAAGCCTAAAAGTAAGCATATGTGTGCTGTTTCTGAAATAAAATTTTCATAACATTCACTAACTTCTGTTTTTTAAGGAAGTTGTTTTAAAAGACCATATGTCTGTCTTAGGCATCTGGACAAAAACTGAAAACATGCCAGTTTATTTCTAAGACTGCAACAAAGGCCAAAGCTAAATCAAGTCAGGACTTTTAGCTTCCGTGGCATCTTAGCCCTCCTTCTCCAGTCTTTCATCTTAATTTCCTCCCCCTTCTTTTAACATGTTATGGAAGAAAGAAGTTTTTAGGGAGCTGTAATAATATTAAAATATCTGAAAGATTGTTGTAAATAGCTATCAAGGGAGGCAGAACCTTCCAATTCTGTTTTCACAGAATGTGAAACATTTTCTGTTACTTGTCTTATTTTTCATTAATAAAAAGCTGAAGTGTGAATTTACATATGACAGTGGGATATAGTGTAATCTCTAGAATATGTCTCAGATATTTTCCTAACATGGGTTTCTCATATGGGCTGAAATGTCCTTATTTCTAATAAAGTTAGATTGAAACCTACTTTTGTCTTCCAGGCCTTCATCCTCCAGGACCCCCATTGGCAAGACCTATTCTTCCACGAGAGAGGGGAGCATTAGATAGAATTGTTGAATATTTAGTTGGAGATGGTCCACAGAACAGGTAGAATGAGGCTCTTTACAATAAATGAATTTTATACCCATGGCATGAAATGGTTGCAATTTCTTCCCTTAGTTTTTGGATAATATCAGAAATCTATGTCTGCCTACTCCAACTGAGATGTCCTTCAGACATGTAAACTCCAACTCCCTGAATTCCTTAGCTACCATGCCCATTATTGAGAATTCTGGGAGTGGAGACCCAGATTTACAGAAAACATCTAGATTGGTGCTGGGGAAGACTGCACTCTACTAAATAACAGACATCCCTGCTGTGGCTTTTCTCCTTGGCTGTATTGCCACTTGCACAAATTAGGGAAAATAAAGAAAGTCATGTGAAATCAGGCTCCTTACATTATAATCCTAGATACTGTACAGGTGGTCCTCGCTTAACAACCACTTGTTCAACAATTGTTTGAACTTACGATGGTGCTGAATGAGTGGTAGTTACAACTGGTCCTTGTACTTGCAGTGTCCCCACGGTCACGTGATCGTGATCTGGGTGCTTGGCATCCTGCTTGCAATTATGACATCACAGCATTCCGTGGTCATGTGATCACCATTTGCAACCTTCATTGCTGGCTTCTGACAAGCAGAGTCAATGGCGAAGCTGGCAGGAGGTGATTTGCTTAACCACAACCAGAAGTGCTGGAATTTCTGTCACTAAGTGGTGCACTCATGTGACATTCTGCTTCATAATCGTGTCGCTTAGCAACAGAAATTCTGGTCCCAGTCGCCATCGTTAAGTGAGGATTATCTGTATATCTACTCAGAAGTCAATGGTACTGAGTTTGGTTAACTTCAGTTTGATTGCAGCCAATGTATATCTTCCTAATAAAACATGTAAATAGTTTCACAGCAGATTGTTTTGAGAAGGATAGCCACAAATTGTAATAGTCTGTTACTGATGAGGCCAGATCTGTCAACTGTTGCTTAATCTAAGCAGTTATTTGTAGCCTTTAAAAAAATTAGTATTGCAGCACGAGTGTGAGAGTTCAAAATAATGGTTCTTAGAAACCAAATTACCAAATCTTCGGCTTGTAAGACTGTGGCTGAGTCACAGTATGGTTAGAAATACTTAGATGCTGTCTGGAATTTGCAATTATTGTAGTATGTTTATGAAAACAATCTATATAGCAGCCTATTTTGCTTTCTGCACACATGAATTAAAGGCAGGTAATGATGGGGAGGGAAATGGCATTCTGGGATCCCTTCAGATCTTTGTGTTAAATATGCGGACATTGTAGAGTGGAGTGCGTATGTCAGGAGCAAGTTGATGTCCTCTTTCATGCATTTAGAGGACACTTGGAGGTAATCTTATTTCTGAATTTTAATGCTGTCTGACGTGAGACTGCTTAAATTAATAAATTGATTTGTTAAACTGATAATTTTGGCTCTGATCCTTTTTTTAGATATGCCCTGATATGCCAACAGTGTTTCTCACATAATGGGATGGCTTTGAAGGAGGAGTTTGAATATATTGGTAAGAACAAATCTATTTATTTTGCTATTTCAGTTCTAACCAAGGTGCACTTAGGCATTATATTTAGATATCATATTGGTTCTTCCTTTAGATTAAAAACTTCATTCTGTGACCTAAAAGTGCTTGAAATCGTTAATTTTTTTAAAAAAGCTTAAGCAAAATTAATTATTTATCATGCACATAAATATTTACCACACTGTTTTGGGGAGTGGGAGTCAAACCCATCTGGAAGGCAGCAGATTGGGGAAGGCAATGTTCTGGGATTTGCAGGTATACAAACTGGCTATAGAAATACAGTTTTTTGTATGCATTCTTAAGATTGTCTTGGTATAAATAATTCGCTAAAATGTTTCAAGGTTTTAGGTCCTTATTTTGCCAGAATTTAAACAAACATTGCTTTAACAACAAAATCCACGGAAAACACTAGAAATGAAGCAGGAGCAGGCTCCAGGGGCTATACTTTAGTTTTATGTTTGTCAATAACTTAAGGCAGGCAGTGAGCACAGTGAACACAGATGCTAGTTTTGCTTCTTCTCAGCAAACACAAATCAGTATGCAAGTAATGCAAAATAAATTATGCCAAACACTGGCTCTTTTCTCTTTCATGTGGGTATGCCTCCCATGTGCTCTTGGCTTTGTGAATATGTTCAGCACAAATAATCAATGCATTTATCATGTTCCTGTACTATTAAGATGCCAAAATCTTTTGTTGAAGTACATCTTCAGTCCCTGTACATATGTGGCCAAAATTTGGCTGAGGTTTTTCTAACAGATTTCTTTTTCAGCTACATTGATGTAGGCGTATTAGATCATATTAGTTATACAATGCATATAAATAACATATTAAATGTTATAGACTGACATTTGCCTGCTTGCCATAACACTTTGATTTGGGATAAGCTGTATTTTTTCCAGGAATATATTGGTTGGTGTTTCCAAAGTTTATCTAAACCTCCTCTCTTATTCCTGAAATATTAATAGCAATGCTTGGAAACCAGAATGTAATGTTTGGTAAATATTCAGAATCTGTATGCATACATAAAGGATGTGTGAATCAACTTATGTTGAGTCCATGTCATTCTCACTTTTTCCTCACCTTCTTAAAATGAAACATTGTGGTTGATAGAATTTATCAAATATTACAACTTATATGACTAGTGATTATTTGTTCTAAAAGCATGTCTGTATTCTGAAAAATAATACATCTTTTTAACTTTTAAAAATGATTAAACTTTGAAAAGATTACAGTTTCTTGAAGGAGACTGATTATAATTTCTAGCATTATATATATATAT